TAGAGTCTGCTCCGAGGTTATTTCTGGCATTGACCAGATTGTTGACTTTTTGGCACTCCATTAGAAGTCTGTTATGTACGGACGGTTAGTTTTGTGTTTGACAAAAACCATAAACATTGACCAGGAAAAACATTTATCGGCAGACTTCTTATGCAGTCTGCTATTAATTCATTTAATTAGCAGACTTCAGGAGAAGTCTACTGCTAAATTAATTCGAGATTTGGTCAAACACAAAACTAACCTTTTTTAGAATAGACTTCATATGCAGTCTACTCACAAAGTCAACAATTTGGTCAATTGCAAAAGTAACCCGTCCTTTTTTAGCAGACTTCTTATGCAGTCTACTCATTTCAGCAGACTTCTTATGCAGTCTGCTGGCCTTTGACGGTTTTTCGCGTATTTTGTAGACTGCAAGAGAAGTCTATTGGAAAAAGTCAAAATCTGGTCAATTGCAAAAATAACCTTTATACTTAGCAGATTTCATAGAGAAGTCTACTGAAAAAAGTCAAACTCTGGTCAAATGCAAAAGTAACCCAATAGACTGCTAATGAAGTCTGCTAGCGTTTGCCGTAATTGCAAAAATAACCCATTGTGTTGATTTCACAGGAAGTCTACTAATAGAAAGTCTACCCGAGTCTACTGTAGAAGCCTGCTTGTGAAGTCAGCAGATTTAATTTTCTTATAAATGCATTTAAAACTTCTTTATAATGAATTTTTTAGATTTTTTTGCTCTCATATGTGTGTTATCTAATGTGTTTCTTTGTGTGTGAATTTGACATATTTAGGTGTAATATTTATTGTATAAATCAATTTTTTTTTGTTTGAGTTATACTTAGCTGTTGTTGGTAGACTTCTGACTTAAGTTTACTAGTAGATTGCATTTGAAATATGTATTATAGTTTTTAATTAAAAAATAATTTTAAAATTATGTATAATGAATTTTTCAAATTTTTTTAATCTGAAATGTGTGTTAATTATTTGTCTTCCTTATTGCTGAGTTTCACATCTTCTGTTATAATCCAACTAATTTTCATGATTAATTACTCTTTCGCTCTTTCTAGCAGATTGTGTATGAAGTCTGCAATTTTAATTTTCTTAGAAATGCATTTATAACTTATTTATAATGATTTTTTTAGATTTTCTTGCTCTCACATGTGTGTTATCTAATGTGTTTCCGTTTGTGTGAATTTGACATATTTAGGTGCAACATTTATTGTATAAATCAATTTTCTTGTTTGAATAGTATTTAGGTGTTGTTGGTAGACGTCTGGCTTAAGTCTACTAGTAGACTGCATTTGAAGTCTGTATTTTAGTTTTTGATTAAAAAATTATTTTAAAAGTATGTATAATAATTTTTTAGATTTTCTTGATCTAAAATGTGTGTTACTTATTTTTCTTCCTTATGTTTGATTTTCACATATTCAGTTATAATCCAATTAATTTTTTTGTTTAAGTATCCTTTAACTCATTTATAAATACTTCGTATGAAGTCTACAAGTAGATTGCGTATCAAGTCTGTCTTTAGATAAATAACTTAGAATCTCTTGTAAAAAAAAAAAATTCTCTCAAAATACTTCTTTTCTCATACCAAATTTTTCGATATAAGAATATTTGAAAGTATAGGACTGATCTTTTGAACACGTAAAAAGATTCCAAATTATGGTGTTCCGTTTGTAACTCTAACAGAAGTATGTATTTTATCTTGACAATCTTATGGTATATATTAATTTTTTCTCTTGTTATGTCTTCTTCCTTTTATTGTTCTTTTTTTAAAGTATAAAATATTCAAATTTTGTTTAGACGCAAGGAAATTGAAAATGATAAGCAACCTATAGATGAATTCAAAAAAAAAATGAACGCAAAGAGAACGTGTTCGGTCATATACGTAGTTTTATTACTAATCATTCACTAATATGGAGACATTCACCCTTGATGTCCCCGAGAAGACAAAATATAAGTTTTTGTTGATACGAGTTCGGTCATATACATAACTTTGTCTTATTTATCATTCACAAATCATCTTGTTTAATGGCAATAAAGAAGCCTAAACCAACACACGAAAGTAGTTCTTGCCCTCCTTCTTTTCCCATCTCCATCTCATCCTTAATTTGTGTAACCAAAAGCTGTTGGAAACATCAAAAACAATACCACCTTGTGTTTAATGAGATTGACCACAAAATGAATTAATCTTCAATTTTGTATATCAGAGAGACTAAACCAGAAGATAGTTACCTCCTTATCGATATTGAAATCTTGGACCGAGAAGCTAATTGTATACCAGATGGCAAGCTTTGGTATAGAGAATCTCTTGCATTTGAAGTTATAGAGCTTGCACGAGCAACCTACACCCATCAAAACACACCTGCGTGAGAGAATACACTTATAACCCAACCCAACCAAACCAAATGAAGAAATACTACGTTTGTGCACTCACAAGTGTATCAATCTACAAAAAAATACATATTTGCATAAGAACTGGGTTCAAATGATAGTTTACAAAAATACCACACTTTTGAAATCTTTACAAAAATGCCACTTTTTAAAAATTATTTTTTCTTTATATTATTTATGTTTGGGTTAACTATGTTCTATTAGGGTTTAGTTATGAGGGTTTAGAAGGTTTAGGGGTCAAAACATTTTCTAGTGT